CAGGCAAAATCTTGGATAATCAAGGGGTTACTTGTCCTTTTGTTCTTTTATTGCCTTAAAAATGACCTTTTTTTCACTTGAGGGGATGTCCCTTTGTTTATTCCACAGATATTTACTGGGTGCCCACTATGTGATGGGCACATAGTTAAATACACAGGATTTTGATCAGCAAGAACTTGTTCCCCTGATGTAAATCTTTCTTAAAAGGTATGGGCATGCAGGCTTGTGGTGAGTGCGAGTAAAGGACGCCTACTCAGTCCCATCAACTAGTAGGCTCAGGCTGGCAGAGGAGTAGCAGATGCTGGAGCCAGATTGTTCTCACATGGAAAGAGGTGGCAGAGAGGAGTAACAAAATGATCATGTATGAAGAAGGAATGTGGAAACAGTATAAAAACCAGAGCCTAAATACTTTGGTACAGTCCTGTTTCTCTTTGCTTCTTAGCAGTTCCAGCCAAGACAGTAATACAAGTATGCTTAGTAATATAAAGGAAGAAAAAAGTAAAGGGGTTAGCATTAATATACAATAAATGTTGTCAAATCAGTAAAGATAAGCAGTTTTTGAAAAAAAGACGGCTAAAAACATGAAAAATGCTCAACTTTGGCCATAAAAGAAATGGAAAATAAAACAAGATAATATTTTTTGACCTGTCAAATTGCCAAGGATTAATAAATTTGGTAATCCTCAGTGTAGGCAATAGTTTAGAGACATACATCATTTTGTACTGTATATAAATTGGTACAGTTATTTGGACAAGTTTGTAATGTATCTCAATGTTAAGTTTACATATCCTTGGTTCCAGAAATTCCATTCTCATAAAACTACACTAAGATGTTTATTGAGGTATTGTGTATAATTACAAAAATCTGGAAACAGTTTGCTGCTATGAGTGTTCCGGTGTATATGACTTTCACGTGGCTAAATTGAGTGCTCAGGTCTCAGAACTCATCTGACAGGATTCATTAGCCACAGCTGATCATGTCTTTCTTCTCCATGCATGTGCTCTATACTTGGCTTCCGCTCTTTTGTATTTTCCTCACTTCCTAAGTCCGTAAACGTTTGAGTGCTGTAGGGCTCAGTCTTCAGACTCCTTTATCTACCTTCATTTTCTTCTTAATCCCATCTAGTTCCTTTATTATTAAAACCTAACTCCTATATGCAGAGGACTTCCAGGTTTATGTCTGTATTCCAGAATTCTGCCCTGAATTCCAGGCCTGTGTCAGTTGTCTCCAGTCATCTCCTCTTTATGTCGTATCAGATTTAACATGTCCAGAACTGAACTCTTCATTCTGTCCCCCCACCAAAAATCTTTTCTCTCACAGCCTTCCATGTTCTGGTAATTGTCACCTTTTTCCTTCTAATTGTTTCAGGCTAAAAACCTTGGAGTTGTTCTTGCCTCTTCTCTTTTTATTATGCTGTAAATCCAAATCCATCAGTAAATCTTACTGATTTTACCTTCAAAATATGTTCGGAATTCTACTACTTCTAATTCCCTTCACTACTGCTCCTCCAACCTAAACCATTGTCTCCTACTGAGATAACTGGAAGCCTTCTTCTACCTTAGTTTTCTTTTAATCTTTTCTTAGCAAAACAGAGTGATCATACTGAGACCTAGGTCTAGTCCTGCCACTCTCCTGTTAGAAATCCTTAAAATGGTCCTACATGGTTTGTTTTCCCCAACCCTGACATCTCTTGTCCGCCTTCCGCACCTGGTTACATCCACACTGGCCACCTTGTTTCCTCAAATACTGCCAGTCATGCTCTCAGATCAGGGCCTTTGCACTTGTGGTTGCCTTTGCCTTAACATTCTTCCCCCGGATATCAGCATGCCCCACTCCCTCACTTCTCTGTGGTCTCTGCTTAAATTTACCCTATTAGGGAGGCCTACCCTGACCACACTGTATCAAATAGCAACTCTTCCCTGCTCCCTCCACCTGTTGTCTAGCTTCTAGGCCCTGCTTTGGTTTTCTCCTTAGTCTTACCACCAGCTGACAGGCTGTAATGTATTTCTTTATCTGACTTCTACCCACTGGAACACAAGGTCCATGCGGTCAAGGACTTGGCTTTGTTCACTTCTGTATCTCCAATGCCTAGAACAGGATCTGCTCTGATAGGCACTCAATGGAATTATATGTTGCATGAATTAATAAAAGCATTCGTCATAGAGGGACTGGTCAAATAAAGTAGAATACATTTATGTAATGGAATGCTATATAGCTGACAAAAGAAGTGAAATAGCTTTATATATTCTAATAATGAATGATCTCTAAATATGTGTTGATAAAAATAGCCGGTGGCAGAATATTAAGAGCTTGATCTTTTAAATGTTAAAAATATGTAATTTTACATTTTAACATAGGAAATTTGAGTGGTCCTCCCAACCCCCCCAAAAGGGGTCTCACTGTGTTGTCCAGGTTGGAGTGCAGTGGCTATTCACAGGCATGATCCTAGCATACCATAGCCTCAAACTCGTGAAGTAAAGTGACCTTGCCGCCTTAGCCTCCTGAGCAGCTGGGACTATAGGTGCACGCTACTGTGCTCAGCTCAGGAAATTGGGAGTTTTTAAATTATAAATATA